GTGAGCGCCGGAGGTGACGTGCCGCAGCAGGGCATGGCGCTGGAAGTTGTCCGTGCCCACGGTAAAGGCGTTCTCCGCTTTACCGTGCTTGTTCTTCACCAGCGCCTGGCGACACTCTATGCAAAACATGAGTTTCCGCTCATAGTCAAACTCCAGCCAGGTAAACTCCTCCTTCCAGTGCTCATTGAAATAGCGCTTACACTTTTTATTGGAATTGGAAGTTTCCCCAGCTGGCTTTTTCCCCGGAGGCACCATGCTGCCGCGGCTGGGAAACCCAACGCTAGGACCGAACCGACACTTCCCTTGCAGGAGCAGCCTCTACATTGAACTTGGGGAGGAAGGGCCAGTACCACCTTGCTGGTTCGACTGGGGATGAGAGAGACACAAGGGGAGAGGGGTTAGGGCCCTTGCAAACCTTAGTACTTGCTGAGCTTTTTTAATTCTGGTCTGCTAACGATGACACGGTGGTGGCAGCGACACAGCAGGACCTCCACGGAGCTCCTCTTCTGCCCTCATCAGCAGCTCTAGGTGCCAACATGGGGGCACCAACATGCATGTGTGGCCTTCTCTTAAGGAACGGGATTGTCTAGATTCACTTCCAGGTCCAAAATTGCTCTTCTTTTTTTTTGACAAAACGTCAAAAAATCAGAGTGTTTGCCCTCACGAGGAGAAAACACTTGATTCTCCCAACAGCCAGTGCACTGCAGTGCAGAGGCTCGCGCCGCTCTGGGCTCCCGCACGCCTCTAGAAACCCTGTTCTAGCCAGTGGGGCTCATCTGGGCTTGGCACGCGGGAAAGGAGGCCGAGAAAGGAGGCCAAAGGCAGCTTCTCGCAGCGCATTTGGGTCTCCTTCCGCAACGAGCGCCCCGTGGAGCGGCGCTCGTTGCTTGGCATGGCCGGGCTCGAGCGGAGCGATGGCCTCGAGGCCAGGGAGCAGCTCGAGAACGCGTGCCCGGGGGCTGCACGCGTGTTGTCCTCCTGCCCTTGCTGGTCCTTATCCTGGGGAGCTGCTGCACCCGAGTTGGCATCACCGGGGCACAGACGGTGCCCTCCGTGAAGCACCCGCTGGCCAGCACAACTCCTGCCCTCGGGCCGAGCTCGTGTCATTCCTGGCAGTGCCGGGGGCTCTTCCAACCTCCCTGAACTGCTGCTCTGCGCCCTGTTCCCCTCTTGCTTCAGGCAAACCCAGACAGGCTGGCGCAGACCTGCAGCCCCAAATGCACCTACTGCAACCGGAGAAGTGTAGGGGAACTCGTGCCCTGAGCCCTGCCAGGAGCCCCAGGGCCACCTCCATCTGCAAGGTGGCATCTGTCACAACCGAGAGGACCCTGGGGCGCAGTGAGTCCAGCATGGAAGAGCCAAGAGCCGCTTCCAGAGACCCTCTGCAAAGGAGGAGGGAAAGTCTGGACCTCCCAGAGCATCTGCTGAGGCTCTGGGGCTGCAGAGCACCCACGGAAACCAGTTAGTGGGTGTATTTGAGCAGCCACGTCACTCCATGCACACACTTAAGCCCTGCTGAGCCCAATCCCCATGTGCTTCCATGAGCTGGATGGAAGGTCAAGCTGGGGCTTGACAAAGGTGATGGAACCAGCATAGAAGAGGGAAAAGGAAAAAAAAAAAAAACAAAAAAGGACATTGAGCAGCAAGTCACCAAGGCAAGCAGGGGATTGTCAGTGTGACTCACTGAGAAACCCGCAAGGGACTTGGGATTTTCAAGAGCAAAAACCCCAAGAACTGAAGATGTTCCCAAGTGAAGAGTCAGGAACCTCGTGGCTGAGGCTCCGGAGCAGCGTGGAGGCCAGCGCAGCCGGGGCTGCCCCAGGCCGGAGGGTCCCACGCGGGAAGGAGCCGGCACCGTGTGCGGAGCGACTCGTCCCCATCCCTGCCCGTGTCCCATGGGCCACCAGCTCCGCGGCCCTTCCCACCCCGGCAACATGGGGACACGCTCCAGCAAAAAGTGCTACCTTGGGAAGAGAGAAAAAGCCATTAGTCTCCTGGACGCAGGGAGCCAAAGGCAGCTCATCCCATCCTGTCCCGTCCCATCCTGGAGACGCCAGCCCATGGGATGGCCTCCGTGCCCGGTGATTCCACCACAGGAGCGTCCGCACGGAGCCGTGTCCTGGGGACCTTCGCACAGCTCAGGTGGCTGGGAAGTTTGGGCAGGGTTTATGGCTAAGGCTGCGAGTTTCCCTGGATGTGAGAGCCCTGGGAATGGCCCCGGGACGCGGCGCACGGCACGGTGC